TCCAAGTCTTGAATGTGCTTCACGCTTTTATTTTTCCTAAGATTTATCTCTACTGGATTGAGGTAGTACCAGTTTGCACAGTTTCTCCTCTTAGTCCATGACAAGTTTCAAAAAGGAGAAAGAATTAGAGTTTGGGTCTGAGATTGCAGAGTGAACAGGCTCAGCCCTGACATTGGCAGAACCCAGGCAAGGGTATGGGGTGGAGACAGCTCACAGACCATGAGCAGCGAGGCACTCAATCCAAGCCAAGCAACCCCTGCCCACAACTTGGGCAGATTTCCCACCTCTGTTTGCATCACCCTTTCACAGTTAGAAGGACAGATTCAAACAGAATTCCTATAGAAATTCCCATAGATTCCCACGGAATTTCTCGAGTCCTGAGCCAGAATATGGCAGCATTGAGAGCGCTAGCTCCCTTCCACCCATGCCCTGGACTACAGCCAGCAGTTCCTCCTCTTCCACCCTGGGCTCCATCCTGTACTGCAGATGACCTCACAAACAAGCACGTGGACACCTCAGCCACTGGGCTCTGTGCTCACCTCACAAGTAGCTAACCTCAGGCCACCCTACCTTGGCATTTCAGCTTTGGGTTCTGCTCTTTGGAAGTAGGACCTGGTGAAGAGCCTGCACAGGCCCAGGAAATGAAACCAGGGTTGTTTGGGCAAAGAATTCTGAGGTTCCAGGACCCAGAACATGGTCTAGAAGGGCATGGTATAGTCTCCTAGTGAACAAGTCTCTTTGACCCCATGACTCCGCCCTGGTAGGAGGAGCTCTGCCAAAGGGCAGAGTGGGTTTCTCAGAAACACAAGGTGCAGAATAGTGATACCTCTTTCCAGATCTAAGGGTGATTTTCCACAAAAGTGGAAAATTTTATGGTTTTCCCATTAACAAGCAATTTAATTAGTTTCATTCCCATCCATCCACTTAAAATAGTCTTAAGGAATTATTGTGCATATTCAGTCTTTATCTTCTCTGCATCTTAGACTTTCATAGGGAAAGTGATGGATCTGGAAGATTGGGTGGGTGCTCCTTTTCTCTCTTATGCTTGGAGAAAGGATGAAGGGAGATCTGTTCAGTGGTGGAATATAGCTTTGTTTTTTTCTGTTGCCCTATGATAGGGCACACTGTACTGCTAGGATGGGCACCAAGATATTTGCCTTCTATGCCACATGTCTTTCTGAGACGTATTTGAGACAGCATTACAATTCATTTAACTTTGCCACCACAAAAAGTACTTTCACACATGGCGTTTCATTTCATTCTGCTATGATACGTTGCATTCAAGAGTAACCTTCTGATTTATAGTTTTTGGTTCAGTAGTACTAAACAACTATACATATTCATTGAATAAACTAGTCATGGGGTTGTTTGATTTTTTCTTGTTGATTTTTTTTTGAGTTCTAGATAGATTCTGGTTATCAGCCCTTTATCAGATGTGTAGAGAGCAAATATTTTTTCCCATTCTGTGGGCTGTCTATTCACTCTAATGATAGTTTCCCTGGCAGTGCAGAAGCTTTTTAATTTGATTAGATCCCACTTATTTATTTTTGTTGCTGCGGCGATTGCTTTGGGGGTCTTCTTCAAGCGAAATGAACAGAAACTTTTCAAAAGAAGACAGAATAATGGCCAGCAAACATATAAAAAAAATGCTCAACATCTCTAATCATTAGAGAAATGCAAATCAAAACCACAATGAGGTATCACCTAACCCCGGTGAGATTGGCCTCTATCAAAAAAACACAAAACAACAAATGTTGGCGAGGATGTGGAGAGACAGGAACACTTTTACACTGCTGGTGGGACTGCAAATTAGTGCAACCTCTGTGGAAAAGAATTTGGAGATACCTCAGAGAGCTAAAAATAGAAATACCATTCGATCCAGCAATAGCACTATTAGGCATCTACCCAAAAGAGTACAAAACATTCTACGATAAGGACATCTGCACCCGAATGTTTATGGCAGCACAATTCACCATTGCAAGAATGTGGAAACAACCCAAGTGCCCGTCAATCCATGAGTGGATTATCAAAATTTGGTATATGTTTACAATGGAATATTACTCAATCATAAGAAATGACAGTGATCTAGCACCTCTTACACTTTCCTGGATTAAACTTGAGCCCATTATCCAAAGTGGGGCACCACAAGAGCAGAAGAACGGGATCCATTTGTACTCACCATCCACATTGGTATTAACTAATCAACACATAAATGCACATATCAGAACAACATCTAGTGGATGCTGGGGAAGGGGGAGGAGGGGACGGGTATTTGTATACACAAGGAGTGCAATGCGCACTACCCGAAGGATGGACATATTTGAAACACGGACTTGGTGGGGGGGAACCAAGGGCAACACACGTAACCTAAACATCTGTACCCCATAATATGCTGGAAAAAAATAAAAACGTATAATGAGTGATTTTTATGCATCAGGTACAATGTTACATGCTGGGAATAGTGAACAAGACAGATATGAATCTGTCCTCATTAAATTTATAATGTATTGGGGAAAACAGGCTCCTCCAAAAAAACAGAAAAAAATTCTAAAATAATTACCAATTTTAATAGGTAGCTTTAAGGGGGAAAATATAAGAGACCAAAACATAGAATGTCTGTAGATTCTGTGTATATATCTACATAGGACTTTTACCTCTATTTCAGGTCTTCGCTCAAAGATCACTTTCTTAAGCCTTTTCTGATAGTGATATTAGAAATAGCAATCATTCTACTTTAGCACTCCTTACTTTTATTTTCTCTTACACATATATACCTGTGTGCACACACATGTAATTGGCTTATGTTTTCCTCTCACTACTTACAGGTAAGCCCTGTGAGGATAGGGGCTATTGCCTTTTTATTGTAATGATTCTTACTCTTTGTGAGCCTAAGATGGTGCCTGGTACAGAGTAGTCTCCCCTTAGCCACGAGGATGTTCCAAGACCCGCAGTAGATGTTTAAAATTGCAGATAGTACCAAACCCTATATACAGGCAGCCCAACTATGATGATTTGACTTATGATTTTTTGACTTTATCGTGATGCAAAATACACATTCAGTAGAAACTATACCTTGAGTACTCACACAATCATCTGTGTTTCACTTTCAGTATTCAACAAATTATTAATACATGAGATATTCAACACTATTATAAAGTAGGCTTTGTGTTACATGATTTTGGCCAATTGTAGTCTAATGTAAATGTTCTCAGATCGTTTGAGATAGGCTAGGCTCAGCTATGATGTTCAACAGCTCAGGTGTGTTAAATGTATTTTTGGCCTATGAGATTTTTAACTTATGGGTTGATCAGAACATAATCCTACAGTAAGTTGAGGAGCATCTTTATACTATTTTTGATCTGATAACCAAAACGGCTACTAAGTGACTGATGGGCAGGCAGCACACACAATATGGATATGCTGGACAAAGGGATGATACACATCCCAGGTGGGATAGAGCAGGACAGTGTGAGATTTCATCACACAGCTGAGAACAGTGTGTGATTTAAAACTTGTAAGTTATTTCTGGAATTTTCCATTTGATATTTTGAGACCGCAGTTGACCAGAGGTAACTGAAATCACAGAAGGTGAAACTGCACATAAGAGGGGGGAGGGAGATCACTGTAGGTGCTCAATAAATACTTGTTAAAAGAATAAATGAGGTAGCCAGGAAAGGTTTTCTGAGAAGTAAACATTTAAGCTGAGACTTAAAGATCAAGCCAAGTCATGCAAGGGAAGTGGGAGGAGGAGACCTTTCCAGGTGGAGGAAATGGTACATGCAAAGGGCCTGAGGCAGGAAAGAGGGTGACATACAAGGAACTAAGGAAGCCCACGTGCTGGGAGCCTGTGTTGAGCAGCAGCTGGAGCTGAGGTTGGAGAGGTGAACAGGGCAAGGTTGTGCTATCTTATAGGCCAAGGTGAAGATTGAGTTTCATTGTAAATATCAATACATTAGGAAGAGATACAAGCAAAGCAGGAACACTGCATTGAAACACGATCACTCTGGCTTCTGTGTGTAACTACTATTGGAGGATGACAGAATTGTAACCAGAGTGACAAATTATGAGACTAGTGCAACAACGGCGATGATATTAGCCAATGTTTATATATTATCTCATTTAAATTAAAATTTAATTGATAAATTCTCAATATTTTCCAAGGTTTTTTTCTTAACCTTTACTTTTCCATATTGTAATCTGTGTTACTATAAGATACAGCAAAGCAGTCGTTGTTTTAAGGTTACTATATCGGCATTTAATGGAGTTCCAAGGAGAACACTCTGACTCTAAGGGATTCTTCATCTTAAAAATTTTGAGACATGTTCCCACAGATATTTAAGAATTACACTTAATTCTTAAGCATTTGAAAGTGGTGTTTGCAGAAGAATAGTAATGTAGCCGTGTGTGGGATGATCTGAGTTACAGGATATTCTAAAGTGGCAATTCAGCTGGGAACTGTGTAGGGGAATCCAGGTATTAGAGGAGGAAGTGTAGACTCACGTGACTGTCGTGGGAAATATAAATGCGAGAAAATGGCAAGACATAAAATGGCAAAAAAATTGATGTCTGATTGAATAGAGGGAAATATGAGAGACAGAGAGGAATTGAGGACGTCTTCAAGGCTGTGAGGAGGAGGGATGCAGTGGATGCTATTCGTGCCCTGCCCAGGTCCCATTTATGTGCCCACAGCATCCATCTCCGACCTGCTATGGGTTTTGTCTGCCAAGATCCACGGCTATACTCTTGTCTGGATCAATGTCCTCAAGGATTGTCCTCACTAGAGAGACTGGAGCTGCCCCTCTCCCAGAGAAATCATGCCTTGCCTCCAGGGACAGCGAACAGCTAATGACTGGTAAGTCTTGGAACATGCCTCAAGGTGAGACAACCATGGGAAGCCATTCATGCTTCCGAGTGCCGTGGGATCAGGCTGAGGCTAGACTTCCACTGAAAGCACATCTTGCTTAGCTTCTGCCTTATCTGTTTCCATTACTTCCTTCCAGATGTCTCCTGAGAGCATTTCCTCCATAAATCACTTATGCAAGGATCTCTGGCCTGGGCTCTGCTTCTGTGGATACCGACCTGAGATAGAAGAGGAAGAACACACTGGAGCCACTGACAGAAAAGGGAAGGTGAGACACGGGTGTTAATTTGGACTTGTTTGATAGATACCATCTATCTTTTCCCGAGTTCTCTTGATGCGCCGTTCACGCAGGAAAGGTATGATTAGAGAGGAAGAAATCATGATACGCTGAATAAGTGGGCATATTTGAAGTACACTTGATCTAAATTTCACTTTTTAATATCAGTTAACTAGAGATCCAAATGCCCACTGAACGAGTTCTAAGTGCATTTTATTGAGTGACCTAAATTTTAAAAATCTAAGTACTTTTCAAATACAGACTAGAGAGCCCATGAGCACCTAGGGATCCGCAAAACATCCCAAACAATTTTTCAAGTGTTTTATTTTTGGCAAGACGCGGTTTAGCTCATTTTGCAAGTGCTCTTCTCTCAGTTTTTAAACCCTTGGGCATTTCAAAGGAAATTTAATCCATATGTTTCTGATTCATTTACATTTTAAGTCATAAAAATGTTATTTTTTATAAGAGTGGTTTGATATCCAAGAAACTTTCTGAGCCTTTTAAAAAATCTCTTTAAAGTCTTGTTAGTCAGAGCCAGGGAGCAGACATGGCATGTGACGCGCCCCACCCCCTGAAAATGTAATCCAGACAGACCCAACCGGAGACTGACCTCAGGGCGATGCTTGCCACGGCCAGACCCAAAAAAAAAAAAAAAATCGTGGCACTGCGATAATCAAGAAAGTTGGTTTGGACACCAGAGAATCCTTAGGAAACCCAAGGGAAGACAATGAATGGCAAATGATCGCAAACATCAAAGTGGGATTCATTACTGCCTCCTTAATGTGTCTGGGCTAAGCATAAGGACTAACTAGACGATCCTACATTACAGCAAGTATCACTCCTGGCAGCTTTTAGGAAAATCAGCACACTTCTGCAGGACAAAGTCCTGTATCACCACCCCCATACTTTACATAAAAAAAAAAAAAAATTGTGTCTTTTCTCAGCACTGCCTATAATAAGGCATCAAAACAACAACATCCAAGGACTTTCAGTAACTTACTACATATACTACAGCGTACTAGGAAGCAATTAAAATGAGGTAAATGAATATTTAAAGATGTAGAAAGATGCTCACGATTTGTTGCTAAATGCAAAATATGGTGACAGACCTGTACATGGATATAAGGACCACATTTTTTGTTAAGGAAAAAAGGAATATCAAAATTATATATATGTGCACTGAAATAGTCAATAGTAATTATCTGTAACTGGTAGGATCGAGGTGTTTTTCTTTTGTTTGCTTGGGTATATTTTCTGACTTTTTCTACAATACACATTAATAAAAAGAAACTGTTTGTATTTTAGAAATTGTACAGAGCAGTTTTCCTGCCATATTGTAAGAGAGCAATGCCCTTCTCTTTTTCTCCAGAACAACAGTGCATGGAGGCCAAGCCGGAGGAGGTGCTAAGACAAGCACTGGATGATCAAACTGTCTGAGAGCTGCTGGAATGCAAGTCTTCATCTGCAACGGCTGAACCTGTGGTCCCCATACTGTGTGAACCCCAAATTGGTCACACGATCTAACATGTGGGGGTATGCGACAGGGTAGATTACTTAAAATCAGAACTGTTCTCAAAATTCTGGGACGTATGGTTGTTCTGGCTATGGGGCACATTGCTTCAGAGAGGAGGAAAAATTCTAAAAGGCAACCTAAGGAACCTCTCTGAAGTATTAAAAAAAAAAAAAAAATGGCAACTGGTAATTTATAAAGCTATAGCTGCTGGTACTGAACATCCCCCGAACAAGAACTCCCGATGCTCCCTCGTGTAAATGTAGACGACGTTTTAACTCCAAAGGACAATGACTTTCACATCTGTTGGTACCTAGTCAAGTTGCAGTTTAAAGTCCTCCCTGCGCAAAATGTGCACGACTGCCAATATTAATTATCTCCATAATACTCCTGAAACCTGTAAAATATGCTTTCCCCCGAAGAGCTGCTCTCCCTAATATCATTAGCACCCCATTTCCTCTCCGCTTCTCTGCCGTCCCCATCAACCTCAGGGCTCATTCTGAATAACGAGCCCTTTGCTGTTCAGCTGGGCTCATTAGATCCTCTTTGATCATAAAGACAGAGTAATGCAAAGCAGAAACATCATTTTCTGAGCCCCCATTAGTGGGAAAAAAGTGAGATAAATAATCCTTAATGCTCCCTTTTTAAAAAAATGTGATTCCGCAACATTCCAACCGAAAGGAATAGGATAAGTGGGGAATTCAGTTAGTTATCATGTAAAACCAACTTATTTCAAAACCCTGGAAGGACTTTCGGTTTTAACATTCTGTGATGATTCTATTTAAATACGGTGTATTCTTAACCTTCTGGAATGCCTAGATCCATTCTAAATAAGCATTAACTTTAATGCTTAAAAATGATGAAAAATTTAACCAGTTGGCCTGTCATGGCTAATCATACTCTCGCACCATACGCTTTCTGCTCGACTCACGAGATGATGAACTCTCAGTTCCACGTCCTATGGGATAGTTTTCAAATGCTGGCAAATCTCTCTTCCGACAGACAGCATATTCTTCAAAAGTTTACCAGGGCCCTAGTCATGGATAGGTGTCATGGGGAGTCAAGGTCCATTACAAATCAGACCTGTATAAATGAACTTCAAAAGTCCTTCAACCATTGCAAGGCAATGGGATGTTTTATTGATTTCCTGATCTGAGAAAAGAGGTGTGTGTGTGTGTGTGTGTATGAGAGAGAGGACAAGGAGGAGATGGAGGGAGGAAAAGGGAGGTTGATTTGGTCTTTGATATATTCGTCTCCTAGTGTTCTACTGTTGTCATCATGCCATGGGCTCTCGATTCAATTATCACCAAAGCAGTCGCATCCAACATTAGATGGGCTGTAAATTATTACGGACTATAACAGGTGCCTAATAAAAATGTCATCATATTAACTCATGATTCATTCATTCATTTAACAACTTGAGAACCCACTACATGGCAGCCAGTAGGCTAAGCATTGAGAACACAGAGATGAGTGAGATAAAATCCCTGCCCTCAAAGAATTAATGCTCTTGCAGTTGGACAAACTAGTGAAAAGAAAAAGTGTGTGGTGATCAGTAAAAAACAAAGAAGGCTGCATGTATGTGGTGCTAATGAGAGAGAAGGTAACTTTCCCAGGCAAGTTGGCATTTGAGAAGAGTTTTTAAGAATGATTAGCAGTTAAGGGCAAGGGTGGAATGTGAATGCAGAAAATGAATGAATGGTATGGTATGACCCAGTATTTTTTGGTCAGTGGACATCATCATCTCATTACCACTTACTGCTGGCAGGCTTATAGACTGCCCCCAAGAAAACATAAATCAGAACTAAACTATGATCAGATTTATTTAATATGTTTGTTTGGAAACATTAAATTTAAAAATAGTTTTGTCAATTAGCATTCCTAATTCTAAGAAGATAAATTTTTTTTAAGAGGTACAATAGCATTTGAATCTGTTGTTGCTACTGACTTATCTAAAACCACGCTCAGATTTTTCCAGAAAGCAAATGAGACATTGTATGTTTGAGAATTCTGTTTTTTTTTTTTTACATCAAATATTGTATGTTTGAAAAAGCATAAATTTAGGTTTGAACCCTAGGTTCTCTACACAACAGCTGTGGGATTGCGCACACTAACTTCTCAGAGAGTCAAGTTTCCTCATCTAGTTTACTAGTGGCAAAGCTTTCTTTTTTATGTAATAGAGGTGTTGGGAAAATTTAATTAAATGGTGTCTATAGGGTGCTAATATAGTGTCTGGCGCTTAGTGCATGTTAATTCTCTTTCCTTCCTTCGCTTATCTTGGGGATGGGCATCTGAGCAGGGAAAAGAGACAGCCCAAGCTCATCATCAGGGAAGAACTGCCCATATCCAGGCAACACTGGTATTTGCCTCTCTGGCATCATGTAACTTAGCCAAGCCTGACTCAGTCTGATCATGTTCATTTTCATCAACTGGAAAAAAAGTAATATTTAGTATGGATTTTGGATGCCAGAACAGAGCTAATGCTTACCATTTCATTTGCACAATGGAGGGACACCTGCAGTGTAGCTTGTAGAACAGAGTTGTTGTTATAAAAAATATCCCCCATGGCAGCAAAGACACTTACAGTTAATGAGCTAATAAATATTGTCAAGTGATCGTTCTCTTGCCAAGTATTAAATCGTAAAGAGAGGGGGGAAGGGAAGGATTAGAACCACTTATTTCCTACAGAGTTCAAATTCTGGGCTTCTTCTGGCAAACTTTTTATTATAATTGACTATATTTTAGGCTTGTCAGTCCACTAATTCCCCATATTGCCTGACACTGTGTGCTCATTCTCTAGGGCAGGGACTTCTTTCTTACAGGCTAGCATCTGGTAGAAAGCGCCATGTTCTTCTTCATGTCAGTAATGGCCCTTTGCAGATTTGATTCTCCTGCTGCTGCCAGAGCAGAGTATGAGGACTGGTCTTCTCTGCTGCAAAATTAGCCCTTTTCAGTCTCATTTCCTAGTCTTGTTTCTCTCCAGAGATGGTTATGAACACTTGTTCTCAATATTTGCTCAGAAGTTTATGGATTTAAACTTCCCATCCTGAGACTTCATTCCAAATAACTGGTCTGTTCCAATTCTTTTTCACTGGACTGACATTACAACTCACCATTTCTTCAACTTCTAATTACAGCCAGTCTGGTGGTTTAAAAAGATGTCCACAGATACTTGGATACACCTTTCTTCAAAAGGTGGAGCTTGTTCCCCCTCACCTGTAGTGTGAACTGAACTTACTGAGTGCTAATGAGTAGAATGCAGTAGAAATGACAGTGTGAGAATTCCAAAGCCAGGTCATAAAAGGCATTATGGTCTCCTTTTTATTCTCTTGCTTGGATTACCAGTGTGGGGAAAATCAGCGCTATATTGTAAGAATTCTCAAGTAACCTGATGGAGAGACCTACATGGCAACGAATGTAGGCTTCCTGCCAACAGCCATGGGAGGCAGCCATCTTGGTAGGGCACCCTCTCGCCCCCGTCAAGCCTTCCGATGACCACACTCCTGGCTGACACCTCTTTTTCTATCTCATGAGAGACCCTGATAAATCACCTAGCTAAGCTGCCCCTAAATTTCTGACCCACAGACACTGTGAGGTAATAACCACTTGTAGAATTAAGCCACAAGTTTTGGGGTAATTTGTTATACAGCAAAAGATAACTAATGGAGGCAGGTTGTAAGATGTTTTCCTGTAGCCTTTGGGACACATAAGGGCCCATTAGCCTGCACACGGTATGTTGATTCCTTCCTTTCTTATGGATTGAAGAATCAGTTTTCTTGGAATATTTTCATTTTTCCCAAAGAAATGGTAAGTTTCTCTTTGCCCTCATTGGAATTATTTCAATACCTGTCTCTGTGAAATAGCAGAAAGAGAATTTTATTTGGGATTCCAGCCTTCAAACAGATCTTTGGAAAAAGGTGTATCTCCAAAGCAGGGTGTTATCCCTGAGTGTGCTTGTTCTTCCTTGTCTCCTCTTGGGACTAACCTTGAGCTCTTGCTCTCAACTGCCAGGTCCTGCTCCAAGGCAAAGACTACCTGGGTGGAAGCCCAAGTGGTACAGGGAAGGCACACCTGTGACATGGGAGGGTGGGGGCCAGATACAGAGCCAGAAGGACTTTGCCTAACCCTAGAGAAAATGAACTGTCATTTCTAGAATGGAGAAACAAAAACCAGTCAGTGAGGGCCTGGGTCACAAGCAAGAGAGGGACAAAAATCTACCTCCAGTGTGAAGTGTGGGCCAAAGATCTGGCTAATGGAAAAATAAGCAATGAGATGAGAAAGAGATTTAGGAGGACTTTGGCATCCCCAGTGGCATCAAGATGTTCTGAGTTTCCAATGACTTCTTTCTAAAAAAAATTTTTTCTTTCTTCTGTTGTCTTAGGCGAGAGCACAGGCACCTGGCTTTCTTCTTTCTTAGCTAAGTTTCTGAATCTTTGCTGTGTCTTTCTCCACTGGTAGATCTCTAAATGTTGGAACATCCCAGGATTCCATCATAAACCACTTTCTTTTTCTATGAGCTCATCTTAGGTGACATCATCTCTACCCATGGCTTAAAATAAATCTATATGCCAATGACTCCAGACCCCAACTCTAGACTCTTCAGACTTACACATCCAAAAACATCCTTCATGTCTCTGCTTAATTGTCTAAAAAAAGCAACTCAATCATAAGGCGGTCCCAAAACCAAACTCTCACTTCCCACCCTACAACAAATTAGTTTGTGGGTTTTTTGGTTGCAGTTTTTATTTTATTTATTTTTTCCTTTGACGAGTGCCCACACCTCAAACCTGGAAGTTATCTTTGATTCCTCTCTTTCCCTTAACACCCACATTTTGCCCATCAGCAACTCTTATTACATTTATTTCCCAAACTTGCCCTGTTCTCCCATCTGGCCTGCTTATTGTAGTAGCCTAATACATCTCCTTACTTCCACTTTTCAATTCCATGG